CCATGGGCAGGGACACCTTCCACTACACCAGATTGGCTCAAGGCCTATCTCACTTAAAATTGTCTCACTCTGATACCTTTTGTCTTTCAAAAAGCATTAAATTCAGTTGCTCCACTTGAAATGAAATTCCAGCTTTAACAGAGGCAACAGTTCTTCCAGCAGCCACCAGCTGTGCCTGGAGTGGCCCATCCTCCCAGAGCACGCACAACTGGATGTGGGACCTCACCAACAACCATTTCACTCCCCAGATCCACTCCAACTGTGCTGTGTGAGCTGCTGCTCGCAGGGTGCCCATGCACATGTCTGGTCAGTGCTGCTGCTCTCAGAAAGCACAGCTCCCCTCCCATGGCTGTCTGTGCACGGCTCCGTAGGATGCATTTTCCCGGCCGCTTCCGAGCGGAGCCACAGCGGCTGCCCAGCAGATGGCAACAGCCCTGCACCAGGCTCACAGCACCGCACAGCGCCGCACTGCATCCCCGGCCCCTCATACACAGGGGTTTTGGCTGCCCTGTCCTGAGGTGTCGAAAAAAGGGTCCTCCAATGACCTTGCTGGCCCAAAGCACGAGTTCCCGTGGCTAAACCCAGCACCTGTGCTATTTACTGTGCTCCCGGTCATTCCTTATACAGCACAGCACAGCACAGCCTTGAACCGGCCCTGTCTCTCCTCCAGCCTACATACAGCTGCACATCTTCATGGAATCATAGAATAGGAGGGACCTCCACAGCCCATCTAGTCCAACCCTCCCGCAATGAGCAGGGACATCTTCAACTACGTCAGGTTGCCCATAACCACATCCAGCCTGGCCTTGAATGTCTCCAGGGATGGGGCATCCACCACCCCTCTGGGCAACTCGTGCCAGGATTTTACCACTCTCATTGTAAAGAATTTCTTCCTGATGTTCAGCCTCAGTCTCCCTCTTTTAGTTTAAAACCATCACCCCTCATCCTACTGCAACAGGCCCTGCTAAAAAGTCTCTCCCCATATTTCTTATAGGCCCTTTTTAAGTACTGAAAGCCCAAAGTAAGGTCTCCCAAGAGCCTTCTCCAGGCTGAACAACAACCCCAACTCTCTCAGCCTTTCCTCATAGAAGAGATGCTCCATCCCTCTGATCATTTCTGTGGTCCTCCTCTGGACCCTCTCCAACAGATCCATGTCTTTCCTGCACTGAGGACTCCAGAGGTGGACTCAGCACCAGCAGCATGCCAAAGTTTTGTGGCTTGCTTTCATGCTGGGAGAGTCAGTCTTGCTGCTCTGCATTGTTCAAGTGGGCTCATAAGCACAGCAGGTATCGTGAAAGCTAACTCCAAGTTTTCCCTGTCCCCCTGCAGAGCATTGTAAATGAGTCCGTGTACCCCAGAACTGAGTCACAAGCTTCATGGGAGCTTGCACGCGAGGCAAGGATAACTCCTACCTTGCAGTTAGTCAGCACTAGCTGCACAAACCCAACCTGGGGGAAAGCAGGCGAGCACTCCGGTGTGTGGACAGACTCCAGGCTCCCTTTGCACAGCTTTACAAAGCAGTGTAGCCAGAAACGCTGTCATTATTTTTTGGTGGCATTTCCCTGTGTAAGTACAAAGCTTGTCATCAGCTGCTCTGCATCCACCTTGGGCAGGGAGAAACACTACCTGGGGGCTGCAGACAGGAACCCCTACTGAGGTGATGCTCTCCCTGTTCGGGGGGGGTGTATAGGGATGAGATTCCTCTTGCACGTGTGGCAGTGGAGCACTGGGGATTGCCACAGCTGGATGCAGGTGGCAGCCATGCGGCTGCAGGAACTGAGGCCTCTGCAGTTCCACTGTCCTCGAGCCACTGTCTCAGTGAAGCCATGCTACCAGAAATCCTCTTTGAGAACAGTTTAACAGCCAGACCAGTCTGCTGGACAGACCTGGCAAGGTGCAACAAGAGCCAGGCGCTCCATGCCACACTGGGAGCCACACCAGTGGCTGAACTGTGGCCGTACTCGACATTACAAAGGTCCCTGTGTGAAGTGCCAAGATCTTGCCCCCTGCGAGAGGTTTTAACGCCTTTAATGGAAGATGAAGTGTTGGTTCTGCTCCCTGTAGAGCAAACACTGGCTGCAGACACCAATAGTGGGTGCTCAGGGTTTTCCACAGATGTTCAGCTCCCACTGCTGACAGCCACCAGAAGAGGGGCTGAGTCACCAAGAGTAACCGCATTAACTGAGAGAAGACATTTTCATTTAGACTGCTTAAAGCACTTGTTTACACTTGTTTGAACAAACATTTAGAAGAAAAGCTCTCCATCAAGGCCCCAACACTTGTAAGAGCCAAGCACTCAAGCCACCGCAATTTTGTGCTGCATAAGGAGGACCAGGCTGATACTGCAAATCCAGTAACCTCAATTACTCCCAGTACCATGGCAAAGCAAATGCGGCACCTCTCCTTCAGCTCCTTTCAAAGGTCCTCTGATGTGACACAAGCTGTGCTTCTTCAGCCCATGGCCCTGGCAAAACAAGAAGGGCTCAGCCGCTGCTTGAACCCACCAGCTGTGTTTTGGGGGCTGAGAAAGAAGATGTCATGTTTAGAAGCAGGTTTCAGGGCTGAAATGGGGACATTTGAGAATACAAACTGCTTTTTGGTGGTATGGAAGCTCTGCTCGGAGGAAAGGCAATGTCTTCCTTCGCTTTTGAAGGGTGCTTTTTCCCTGCCCTCTCTTCCAGATGAATCCAAGCAAGGTGGAATATATATTGGAAAAGGCCATTTACCTGTTTTCTGTATTAATGGTTCCTAGAGTAGCAGCCTGCGGCACCTAATGACAAGGAGCCTGCTGGAGCTCTCCTGCAGCTCCTTTGCACAGTGCTTCAGTGAAAAACACTCATCTGCTGCTCCCAGCAGGTTGCTTCCTCATTCCCCCATCCAGCTTCTCTCATCCCCCCCTCCCTGAAACAGCTCAAGCTTTCCAAGGTACAGCATTACAGGACATGTGGAATAAAAGACACGTTGGGAGCTCACGGCTCAGCCGAGCAAGAACAAAACACCGCACGCCCCAAGACACCAGTTTATTTTTACACACGCAATGCTGAGCGGTATTTCTTGGTCATGTTCTCATTTGCTAAACCTCTACGAAATCCTTGCAGGCTGGAAATTATTTCAAATCATGTATCCAAGACAACAGAGGTAATTCTTCCCCAGCATATTAAACGTAGACACCAACAGAGCTCTGATCTTTAGATGACTGCCCTGAATTCCACGTAAGAATCCATTTACATCTTTCTCAGAAGGAGATTTCAGGACTCAGCACCTTTTCTCCTTTGGGTCACCTTGTTGTTTCAAGGAAATGATGGCCCAGCAGCAGAATTATTTCATCCCAGCGGGGCACACACCAGCTTGTTGGTATTTCTGCCCAGAATAGCTTGCAGCACTGACAGAGCTCATCTGTGTTAAATTAGCCCTTAGAAAACATCCCTAACTCTGAATCTCAGAGAAGACCGTTCCTTGACGCAGGTCTGAGGAGCAGAAAGCAGAAGCCCTTGCCTGCATGAACACTGCAACTGTCGCAGCCTCCAAACTGCTCAGTCCAGTGGATAAAAAAGCACATTTGTGACCTTGTGCCAGACAGAGAACATGAAAACCCACCTCCCCTCCTGCCTTCCTGCCCCCCTTTCTGCACAGCTATTCCTGGCTTGTGTAACTCTCTCTCAAAAAGGAAAAACAATCTAATATTCAAGATACCCTTGAAAGCTTTCTGGGGGAGGAAGTGAGCTCTTAAAGCTGTATTTATCCAAGCAGTCCTAAGGGAATATGGGACTTGCTCAGGGTGACACTGCAGGTCCCTTGACTTCATCACAAGAGCTGGCAATCAGCTCAAGAAAACCACTGCTTGGTTGGAAAATGGAGTAATGGCCTGGTCAACTGTCAGGCCTAAGTCACCCAAGTGAGAGCTTGTAGCCATCTCCAGTGATGGACCTTCTAACTGACACGGGGAAGAGCAGTTGCCCAACACCCAGTTTATACTTAGAAAACTCAAAAGAATAGCTCGAGCCTTTTATCAAGAAGTCACAAACAACATACTACAGACTACGCAAAGCAAAGACATGGATATTTGCACGCACATATGAAGGAAGCTGGGAGTCCCTTTGCAAGTAACAATCTATGTGATGAAAACATCCAGGCTGCCAAGACACAAGAGTCAAAAACCTGAAGAGGAAAGTTTACAAAAGGAAAAGCAGAAAGAAGCTCTCAGTCCCCATGCTGGACTAGGGAGCCAGCCAGCTCTTTGCTCTGAAGGCACCTCAGCGCCTTTGGCTCCAGGCTGAAGGCATGGAGGAGAAATGGAGAAAGCCTTCCAAGCAAAGCCCAAAGGCTCATAAACACAGACAGCAGGGCACGGCAGGAGCAGCTTCCTTTCTACCCGGGGAGAGCAGATATGGGACATCACTGCGATACACTTGCGTGCTAAGGATTACTGGAGGAAACAAGAATGAAGGCTGTAACTTTAACAGAAGGAAAAATACCCATCCCAGATCCGCATCCTTGATCAAGCCCAAAAACATTAAGGAAAAATCTACATTTTTGTCTTCTGCTCTGCCTCTTACTGGCCAAAGAGCACTGAGTGCCAATGTCCAACCGCGCCGCTGTGCCTCTCCAGCAGGGTCCTGGCTTGGACATCTCAAAATCAGGCTCAGGTTCTCCAACCTCAGCAACTTCATTACTAAGACAAACACAACAGCAGCAAGCACCCTTTCCACATTGCTAGTGCGGCCCCTCTTTCACCCAGGACACCATGCTCTGCATGCTAAACTAGCACTAGCTATAGGGTTTTCCTTGAACACCAGTTTTTACTGAAACAGCTCCAAATTCTTGATGCAAATTCCCCTAGGCCAGTTGCCCTTAGATTAAAAGCTTTGTCTTTATAACATGTTAAGTATCCCTGATCCCTGTGAGAGCAAATGCTCATCTCCCCCAGCCAAACTCTCCATGCTCAAGCCTCACACCGTATAGAGCCAAAGTCTGTGGGAGCCAACAGCGCTCATACTTGCCTCAAACGTGACGAAGTCATCAAACTCATCAGGACAGGCCGGGGCTTCCTCCTCAGGGGTGTATCCCATATCATACAACTGGCTGTCAGGATCTGCAGAGGAAGATAAGAGAAGAAAGAGAATTACCAAAAGGAAACCCGCATCCTCGAGTGAAGGATGGTTTTGGGAAACTTGACAGCAGCAGGACAGGAATCTCCTTTTGCACACACCGATGCCTTCAGCTGTCAGAGAGGACCTCTGCTTCCAGACATCCCACCACCAGCTCTGGTGGAAGGTACTTAGGCTGGCTGCTTCCTGGCAAAGGTCCTATGAGGCCCCTTGCTGCTCTGATGGGGCCAGCACTGGATTCATCCCTATGCCGCCATGGTCTCCACTCCTTTTCCTGGTTTCTTCCCTACCTCCGTTTCCTGCATCCTCTTAGTCTTCTCCCAGAAGGCATTAATCCTTCTGTGGGTAGGGAATACATTAGATCTATGTGTGACAGCGAACTACCATGGGAACCGCAGAGAAAGCAGGCTGCACCAAAGCTTTTATCATCTACTGCTCCTCCCATGGCCAGCCACATCAGGAGCCATCCTTGCAGGCAGATGGGAAAATAGGAGGTTTTCAAGGAGATTCCTTTACAAAAAAAAAATCACCCCTCCCGCCCCCAAACACCCATCTGCAGCAGAGGAGCAGCATTTCTGAGCCCTTCCACAGAGGAAAGGCAGAATGAATTCCCCATGTTCCCTCCAGCAACAGCTAATGCCCGATCCAGCACACGACCCAGATCACAGGCTGGAAACACCAAATCCAGATCAGATGCTGCAGTCCCAAAATAAATAACAGGCTCAGAACCACATGCCTTGGAGCTGCAAACATTGCAGCACTAGCGCTGTCTGATATCAATAGACTTGGCCAGGCAGGAGGAGTCATTATGTCAGTGCTCTAGGAAAGCTTGGCCATCACCTGGGTTTGTGGAGGGAAAGGCCTTCCTTTCCTGGTTGCTCAAGGCAGATGATGGAGCAGAGCTATGAAGCAGGGTCAGCAGGCTGGCAGCACAGCCACATCGTGTGACTTGAACCCAAGCCCAACCAAAGGAACTCCTTAAGTCACACAACGTTTTGCACAGCCACCCAGACAGGATCACACTCAGCTTCCCGCAACGGATGCAATCCCCATGGAGTCACAGCCCGGGCTCCCACTTTGGGTCCATCTCCGGTAGCAAGAAATGCCATTTTTCATTAAGGGATATGTACATCTAGTATGAAGTCAAGGGAGAAGGGGTGATGGCTTCAAACTGACAGAGGGGAGCTTTACGTTGGATATGAGGCAGAAGCTGTTCCCTGTGAGGGTGCTGAGGCACTGGCACAGGGTGCCCAGAGAAGCTGTGGCTGCCCCATCCCTGGCAGTGTTCAAGGCCAGGTTGGATGGGGCTTGGAGCAACCTGGTCTAGTGGAAGGTGTCCCTGCCTGTGGCAGGGGGTTGGAACTGGATGGGCTTTAAGGTCACTTCCAACCCAAACCAGTCTGGGATTCTATGATATGGTCAGGGCACAGGACAGAGTAAGGTGCACACTCCCTCCCACCCACACACCCTCCCCAGTACCTTTCCCAGATGACACTCAATGAAAACAGGAGACACTGGGGCCATCAACCTGATGGGTACTTGGCAGCCCTTGGAGGGGAGGGAGAAGCTGAGCACAAAAGAGCCCTCCCCTGACCTAGGTCTGGGGCTCCCAGGGCTTTGGCCATAAATCAAACCCGGGCTCTGCCCTGTACCATGTCCTACCTGCACAAGCCCTGGTGACAGCTCTGCTCTCCACAGCCTCTCCACACAGCACAAACACCTCATCTACAACACGTGATTCCCTGATCTGACAGCAGCAAGATTCCAGCCAAGCAGCTGAGTGCTGGGAAGCTGCCAGTGCTTCCAGTGCCTCATCCCACACCTCGGCCAGGCAACACACCTGCAAGGCCATTTCCAGTGCTCCCAGTGCAGCGCTGAGACCCGCAGAGCAGCCCAAAGGCAGTGAAGTGAGGCACAGGCTGCTCCCTTCTGCTTTTTCCCCTGTCATTTCTCTTCCTCCCCCTCCAAGCAGACACACCGAAGCTTCCTGCTTTCCTACCAACACAGATGAAGGTATTTATTCTGCTCATCCCTTCCAAAGGGACTTGAAAAGGAAGGATGTAGAGTCAAGTGAAGGCTTCCAGCTCCCTTTGGAAGCAGGGCTGTAACACGTGGGGAGATGGCGCACAAACAACTCCCTGCCATCAGCTGCCTCATGGGCAGCTCTTGCCCAAACCACGTGCTCCTTGGAGCCATCCCAGCCCTTTGGGTACTTCTTGGTGTGGGGGTGAATGTGACAGTAGCTGCAGAGGGGTTCTCTGCACAGGCAGGGTGTATTTTACAGAACCTCCACTGTAAAAAGCAAGGAGAGGCCACTTGAGAACTCACCTGCAGCCTCGCTGGCGGCATGGCCAGCAGAAGCCATGCCCAGGAGACAGCACTCAGTGTTTCCACTTCCCTGTGCTCCACGTCAGACAGCAAAGACAAACACCACCACAAACAAAGGGTGACTTTTCTGCTTGGTTTATTCCCTCCCCCTCTGAAAAAGCCATATGGTGCTTTGTGTATAGGGAGAGTTGCCATGGAGAGCTTGCCTGCACATATCCCAGCACAAAAGGCTGCATTAAGCCTTCAAATTCCTGTCCAGAAGAGAATTAAAAAGAAACGAAGCGACCTATGCTGCTCAACTGGCACTCCCCGCGAGCAGAGCACCCTCCTGCAGGTGCAGGAGGAGGCATGTGGAGAAAGCAGAGGGCTCCGCACGCTCTTCTCCCACCCTGCACCACTAAGCACAGAAGGATGGCCATGGGCATCAGCAGCACCACACAGCCCTGGCTCCAGCAGCATGTGGTGAGCACAAACACTCAGATTCCCTCTGCTCTCCCCTTTGGATCTAAAACCCAAATCCCGGCTGACATCCTCCTCTCCCTCACGTGCCCTTCTCCATACTGCCCACACCACAGAGCGTGGTTTCCTCTCTTACATCCGTCCTTGATTTCACTTGACCTCTTTCCTTACGGACTCACAGACAGAGCTGGGTTGGAAGGGACCTTAAAGCTCATCCAGTCCCAATCCCCTGCCACAGGCAGGGACACCTTCCACCAGACCAGGTTGCTCCAAGCCCCGTCCAACCTGGCCTTGAACACTGCCAGGGATGGGGCAGCCACAGCTTCTCTGGGCACCCTGTGCCAGCGCCTCAGCACCCTCACAGGGAAGAGCTTCTGCCTAAGAGCTCATCTCAGTCTCCCCTCTGTCAGGTTAAAGCCATTGTCCAAAGCCCCTCTCCAGGTTTCCTGTATCCCCATTTAGGCCCCAATTCCTCCTCTTTGACAGTCCATGTGCTCAGCAAACCCTGAGTCACCTCTCTTTTGCCAGACATGTGGATGTCATTAGGGACTGACTGCCTCTTGTCCTCTCACCTGAGTGCCCATCGCCGGCTTGATGATCCAAGGACTGGGAAGGCTGCCCTATGAGGAAAGGCTGAGAGCTGGGTTTGTTCAGCCTAGAAAAAAGAAGGCTCAAGGGAAACCTTACTGCCATGTTCCAGCATTTAAAGTGTGGCTACAAAGAAGATAAAGACTCTGTTTTGTAATAACCTCCCCAGGGAAGTGGTAGATTGCCCAACATTGGACACTGTTAATATTCAGCTGGACAGGGTGCTAGGACATGATGCTTTGCTTAAGAAAGGTTAGACCAGATGACCCCTGAGTTCCCTTCCAACCTCATGTTCTATTGTTCCTCCTGCAGTTTCCACTCTATCCAACACTCCCACTGCTAGTCCCATTATATCCATGTACAGCCAAAAATCTCGAAGCTAAAAGTCAGGTTTAAAGAGACCCTCCAGGGAACCTTTCTGCCCCACAATTTTCCTGCAAAAAGGCTATAAGCAATATGCTAGGTCTTTTGCCCAAATTAATTGCACTAATTTCACTGGAACATGTGAGCAGCCATCTCGATAAAGCTTCAGTTGAACTATTGTGGCAGAACTGTTCTAACAGGGTAATGTGGCTGAGGTGGAAGTAATTGTGAGCAGTAAGACCAGGCACATGTATTATATCACCCAGTGAGGGTAAGGTGAATTTAGAAGGTAAAAAAAAATATGAAAAAAGCAAATTAAGTCTACTATGAAGCACATGCAGCATCCTTCTGATACCTTTCCCATCCCTGCCTTGAAGCCTTCCATTGCCCAGCATGTGCTCATTCAAACTCCACTGAGCTCACCACCTCCTGAGCCCATCGCATTGGCCACACCAGTCACTTGGGAGATGGAGATCTGCTGTCACACAACTGTTGCCAGGAGCCCAGCTTTGACTAGTCAGCCTTTGTCTCACACACATTTGGTTTTCTGTGTTCCCCACTGCTGCCCTGTTTCTTGCCAATGCACTAAACCCCGTGTCTCCCTCTATTCTTAAGATCCCAGACTGGTTTGGGTTGAAGGGACCTTAAAGCTCATCCAATTCCAATCCCCTGCCATAGGCAGGGACACCTTCCATCACAGCAGGTTGCTCCAAGCCCTATTAACCTGGCCTCAATCCTCCCAGCATTTAAAATAATTGTCCAAACACCCAAACACTACTGTGTAAAGCTTCTGACAAGGACCATCTATCTCTGCCTGAACACATCTGCATGCTGATGCAGAGCATTCACTGTTTTAAGCCAACTGCAAGCCAAGGGCAACCTCTGTCCAGTGTCTGTTGAGCCTCTAGAGCCACAGGGCACCTCTGTGGAGCAACACCGCCAACAGGAGACACACAGCCAGCTCCACAGTGGTTTATCATGGATGTACAGCATACACACAGCCAGAGAACAAGCAGGACAGGTCCTGGGCTCCTTGTGGGGCTGCACATGTGCTGAGCTCTTGCAGCAGCCAGAAATACCCCCTTCATGTCTCACTGTGCTTCCAAAGGGATTGGCTGTACAATGGTGACCTGGGCTTTTCAAGAAATGGACCGAGTATAGAGTGACAGGAACAGAAGTCCCGGGGTATAGAAAGCTCCTGAAATAGATTCTAAAAACTGCTTTCAGAAGACAGGATTTCAGTGAA